GCCACACACTCAAACAGGAGTCTCAATAGCAGCTGTTGTGCCAGATGTGCTACTTTTGCTAGAGCATATTAATATGGGCTCCGGTATACAGTAGGTGACTATCGATCTTAAAAATGTGCCTTTTTTCAAACCTGCAAGAAAGGAAATTTAGAAAGAGTTTTTATTTACCTGGAAGGAGCGCCAGTATGCCTCAATCCTATGTTAACAGTCCCTTCTGAGAGATCTGTGTCATCTGTAAAATCCTGTAGAACAGCACATTGGTTGACTATATCGGTTGCCCAATCAGTACAATTGTTAGGGGACAAGGTTGAGGACAGCAGTTAAAAAAAACTATGGCTTTTGGGTCAAATCTGACCCACCACCTGTTTTGTAAATAAAGTTTTATTGGAACAGAGAAATGCTCATTTTGTTTACATAGTGTCTACTGATATTCTCATGCTACAATAGCAGAATTAGGTAGTTATGTCAAAGACCATATGGATCACAAAGCTTAAAATATCTACTAACTGGGCCTTTATAGAAAGATTGATGATGCCTCATCTAGGGCACGCCAGGATATCTCTCCAAAATATAGCAAAGTAGTGCTTCCCACACTTTCCATCATGAAGCAGATAGCACTGTGCTTGGTAGGCTTCTTCGGGTTCTGCAGGCAGCCTTCCTCACAATTAGGAATAAAGCTGTGACCATTTATTGGGTAACACATAAGGCTTCCAGCTTTGAATGGGGCCCAGAGTGGGAAAGGGTTCTTAAGTAGGTCTAGTCAGCAGGCAAGTAGTCCTGTCCCTTGGACCATACAACCCCGAAGAGTCTATGCTCATAGTGGTGACTCATTGGTGGAAAAAGATGCTATGACAACTTCACTGGCAGTCACCAATGGGAACATCACATTTCAGAAACTCAGGGTTCCTTAACAATGTCATGTCATCTGCAGCAGAGAAACCTGAAACTTTCTCAACAGGCTCCTGACATACTATGGAGCCCTGGTAGACACGAAGTGTCTAACATTGGTACACTAAATGTGGGTAGGATTTCCCATAATGAGCTGGGTTCTGCCAGACCTATCAAGTCATAATCAGTTGGGTCTAGCAGAGTTGGAAAGAGTGCATCTGGGATCAAGCAGGAGCAGGCACAAGCAAGCTGCACAAGCCAGCTCCCCATGTCACCCACGACTATTCCACCGGCACTGCCTGCAAGCCATCAGCCAGCACCATCTGTTGAAGGTGTACAGAGACCTCTGGCGGTGTGGGATGTCACAGGCCCAGCATATCTCATGGTAATGTGCCCACTCCCACACATCCTGTGCTATAACGTGCATCTTTGGCTGATGCAATGTTTTGTGGGAGACTATGTCGGGGTAATTATTTTCAATCAACAATAAGTGAAAGAGCCACTACCACGCTATGGGGGCAGGGAAGAATATGCGGGACAAGCAGATGCTCCCTTGATCAATTTTATTGGTAGAGGCAAAAGTGCAGCAGTTACAGTCTGAGAAGGCTGCAGTAGACATGGGTTCAAACATCTCATAGTGTTGTCAGCTGGAGATACGGGAATCTGGTCAGGATGGCGGAGGAGGAAGAGGATGAATACAAGTCTCAGCCAAGAGATACCCGCAGTGGCAGGTAAGGTCTGTGGTTTATTCTATCCTCTTCCTTTGAGTAAGTTCCCCCCAGGAAACGAGGCTCCCCAGAGTCCTGATGGAGATGCTCCCAGAACTCACATGAAGAAGCAGGGACTGAGCAGCACACGTGGGACTCTCAGGGATGCTGTCCTGTGCCCCCCAGATCCCCGTTTTAAGGCTTAATTTATTCTTCCCAGCTGCTGAAGAGGTTGATTCTCCCTCTTCAGGAAAATGCCTAAGCTGAGAAGAGCAGTTTGTCCAAGTTAATGCCCACTTCACCAGGCAGTCAACATCCAGCGTTTGGTCGATACAGGAGTGTGTCCAGCCCCTTCACCCTAACTCAGGACATCTCCACAGGGCCATGTCAGCAGGGTCGTCTGACACCTTATTGTGACTGCACCACAGCCTGACTTTTCCATCTGCCCCATCCTGCATCATCCTTCCTCCCTAATAAACCTCTTCATGGTTACCTCTGCCTCAAAGTTTGTTTCCCAGGGAACCTACCTGCGACAGTTTATTATTTAGAAACATGGAGACAGCTAAAATGAGAGACCTAAAAAGCTGGTGGTGGTGAGGAGGGAATTTGGCAATGGAGAGCTATTTTTCCTGGTAAGTTCTGCTGAACTATTAGATTTTTTAAGTATATGCATATATTTTTTATTTAAACATAAGGTTAAAATTGGAAAAAGGATTTTAAAAAAGACTGTGCTGGAGAAACCATTAGAATTGTGGGTCAGATTTGTTTTCCATCTCATTTTATTTTTATTTTCAAATCTTCTAAACCAAGCTCCAGGGAAGCTATTGATACACCAAAAATCCAACTTTCTTACCACATTTTATGGAGACTCTATCATATTCCCTCTATCCTCATTTCACATTCTTTCTTGCACACATGAATGTGCTCACCCATACATATCCTTAACACACAGACACTCAACTTCTGAACTTTTCCATGTTATACCTCTCTTTATCTCCCAGACTTTGGAAAAGTGGATGACAACCAGGACATATTGAAGGTGTCTGGTAGATTCATCATTTACTTGACATATGGATTTGAAAAGTCAGTCAATCATCTGAACATGTTTTGATTGAGGATGCATCTAATTCATCCTTCCACCAGAGGAAAATATTTGATGACTCAATCAGTCAGCTCTAACTCGTACTGTGAATTTTGCAAAGCCTATATACAAGTGCTCCAGTTACAATTGTCTATCCAGGAGTCAAGGACAATAAACAGTAGATATTTTTAAAAGGAAGCCAAATCTATCAATTGCAATGGCCTATCCAACGAAGGTTGATGTTCATTTAAAAAGAATAACAGATAAGATCTAGAACTATAGGTCATTCTGGACAAAGAAGACATCAAGATCTTTCAAATTTTTCTACACAGCTAAGTAACTGTCGAAACCCCAGGTCTTGGAAGCACAAAGACCAACACTGTGTGGAGTGAAAAGGACAATTGTAGTCACAGCTTCTTCACCACTTACACACTGTTACTGTCCCCTTGATAACATCAACTCATATATCTGCATCTTGGACTTTTCATCTGTAAAACTGAGCTGTTCTCATTAAACAATATACCATTGCTCTCAAGTTCCATGAGGGACCCTGTTATTATGTTATTTTGAAGGAAAATACCATCTACTGAAACATAATTTTAAATGATTGACTTTGGTATGTTTGGTTGTACAGTTGCTTGTAGTTGTTTTTTGTTGTTTTTAACTTAACATCTAAAGGATGTATTAAATGTGTTTGAAAGAGCAACACTTGGGAAAGGATTTTTTAAAAATGGAGTTGCTTTCTAGGGTTGATAAAGGCCATTTCGGTAGCATGGTTTCTATAAAATTAAGATGGCATTTCTCACTGATGAGTCCCATGTCAATGTCATATAGGCAAGCCTTCAATCCCACACCAACTCCACTCTATTTGCATATTATACACTTAAATTTAATGAAATTTGGGAAGCTTAGTCTTCTCAAAATGCAAATGTCAATTATATATTGTTTTCATTTTTTAAATTTGAAATCACAAAAAATGCATTTTTTTTTACTTTTAAATCAGAGAAGGCTACATTATATTTTTCCATATGATATATGTGCATTTAGGGTGTTCACTGGCCAAGCTCTCTCTCAAGAAGAAAAAAAGACATTAACTCAATTTAAATACATAGTAACCTTTCCACGAACAATTGCTGACAGCCAAATTATTGTTCTCTAGCAACGCTTTAAATCTAGTGTAATTTGACTTCGCTTGTTTAATCAACAAACTTTTTTCAAATTTTTTTCATTTTTTGGTCCATTTAAAAGCAAAAACACATGGTAGCTGCAGTGTTTGTTAACAGTTCATAATAACCACAGGATCTAGCAAAAGGTTTAAACACACACACACCAGTAAAGAAGGCATACATCTACACATCTTTTTACAGTTTTAAGGGAAAAAAATCCGGAATCATTCCCTAATTTTAAACTTTTACACGTCTTTTAAAATATATTCTGCATTTTATTTTAAAAATGCATTTTCAAAAGTGCATTTTATTAAGAAAAAAGTAACAGATTACAAATTAGGAAATCAAAGTCATGCCATGTGATGTCTGAATGCATCAGGATGACATAATGTTGCGCTCTAGCTGTGCAGACCACGTGAGGCTTCACCGTCTACAAATCTATCAACACTCCCGCTACCAACAAGGCTAATACTGCTGCTAAATAAAATGGACATTTGTAAAAGATTCAGAGCTGTGATGATGTGTGCATTCAGCTTTGCATCAAATAAATACTACTTTTCTATGTGAAATCCTTCCCAAGCCACCATAGGTTGTCCAATTGGAAAAAAAAAAAAAAATGTATGCCATATACCAACTCAGGTCCTTCATAAACAACTATGTTAATTCAGGTCCTTAAGATTTAGTAAGGCATTTATAGAAACATCAGTATGGGTACAGTGCTATGAAAAAAAGACTGGCAGGTTCTATAAGAGTTAATAAGGAAAACATAGAAAATAATATGATAGTAATGCTGAATTTAATATCTCCAAATTGTTCTGGTGTGGACAAAGTCAGAAATCCAATTTTTACTTGGGAGGCACTTGAAGGTGTAGGTATGGATAATAAAGTGCCTTTATTACATAATTGGCTTATGGAATTCAAAGACAGTTTCATGCAAGCATCTTTTTTGTATGGCCTTAAAATTAATTACTCTAACAGTTCCATAAAGTTAGTGATAATTCTTTGATCTCCTAGGATATATATATATACACACACACACACACACACACACATGCCCAATTAGAATTTACTAGTTAGTGGGTTATATTGTTTCTTGATCCTTTCTGAGAAATTAACATCATCATCCTAGACAAGAAATGACTAGAATGACAGATTTAGTATAGATCATATAATACACTAGAGTAAGTATTCTTTAATTACTAGTTGTACAGAAAAGAGGCATGGTTGCAGCTTATATTTCAAAAATATATATACTGGAGATCAATGCACAGCAAAATGTATATGTGAAGAGGTATATATTTTAGAATAGGGAATTAAGCACTACATTACAATTTGTCTCTTTTTTCTAATACATAAGAAGTTGCTCGATGGAATATAGCCATGGGAGAGCAAAGAAAAGTTAGTGATAAACCTTAGAAAAACAGAAATAAAAAACTATAAAAAACTGGCATACAGTTTGGGGAAAATATTCTCAGATGTATACTTCACTTGAGGTATTACAGTTGCAATTAAAAAATCATTTTTTGCTGTGATAAGAATTTTGTTATATCAACAAATTTAGTTGAAAAGATTTTACAGTATTTGGGAATTTGGCATTACTCAGGGACTTAACAATTGTCACTATCAAACAATGATAACAAACTAAGTGGAAGACATCACATACTGACAACTGCTACACTTTCTGAGTTTTGTTACATATAAATTGTGTGTTCAGAGTTGAAGTCTGACACACAAAGCAAAATGTATTCAAAATCATTAAGAAGAGGCAAATAGAAAAAAGAGCAATACAAACAAACGAACAACAACAGAACATTTTTCGAGATTATTGATGTATTATATTCAATGTAATACAGAGAAGGCAGAGGAGTTTTATATACTTCTGGCCACTGAAGATGCAAACACCAGCCAAACAGGATCTTAGAAGCATTTCCAGGTCTATGAATAACACCATGGGAAGACTAAAGCAAACACAGCATATGTTCTCAAATAAAGCAAGGTCATTATAGTCCAATTTTGATTTTTACCTCTAACAAAACTTATGCATCACATGGTTAAGAGACCAGGACTACAGTTTTCACATTTAAAAACTGTAGTCATTTAAGCCAGTTAAACTTGTTTCAGATCATATCAGGACAATTGGAAATTAACAGCAATATCTAATCCCTTGTTACACAGAATGATTACAATGAGAAATATGTCACTGGATGAGGCCTCCTGGAACCATTCCAAGCCTGGATATGGCAAGATGGCAGTGCTGCAAGTCCATTGCCTGTATTCGCAGTGTAAAAACTTTTTTTTTTTTTTGTCCATTGAGAGCCCCTGGCTATTAAAACAAACTGTCATAATTATAAGTTAAATCATAGCTGTCAATCAGAAGAAGTACTCTTTCTGGTTTTCACTGACTGCATTTTGTATATTAAGATCACTTTTCAAAACAGCTGCAGCACTGTCTACATTCTCTGACCTTTTTGCCTCATTTCTTTTGTATAACCTTTTCTGCTGATAAATGCGGACAGCTATCGCAGTGATGCAAAGCAAGATAAAGATCACAACAGCTATCAAACCTAGTGAGAGAAAAGAAATACAAAGTCAGAATCTTTGTCCAAAGAGAAATTGTGTTGACTTCATTGCTTAATAAGTCATAATAAAATTATTTTCTGCTTAAATCAAGCATCTACTACATATACATTGGAAATTTAAAACTCCAGGTATTTCTGGCTCAAGCAGTATCATAATATATTGAGTTTACTTCTGAGTTCTATCAACCTGGTGGGTTCACCTCTGTTCATTCTGAATGCATATTATATTGGATTTACTTAGAGCATTTATATTTAACACAAGGTATTACCTACATGTCTTTAAGACCATGTGACCACTTCATTTTAAGACATAAATAAAAATTAATTATTTTGAAATTATAGAGTAGTAACATCGTAAAAGAATTAAATGTGTTTCTATGATTAAATACTTGTATGTAAAAATTTTAATAAAGTTGATTTTCAGTAATTCATTATAATGTTGAATAGTAGGAACAGGTTATGTATATGAGCAATCCTGACTAATAAATCATAGATATAGATATTTAAATTATTTCTATATGAGGATTATTAATTTCTTGAAGCTTCTGTTTGTAAATAAAAATTTCAAGTACTACAATTCTCAGCCAGGTCAGAAGTAATCAAAGGGTAAGAACTCCTGGCTATCTCCAAGACACTTTTAGGGGGTCCACAGAGTCAAAACTATTTTCATAATAATTCTAAGATGCCTTTTTCATGCTGTTGACATTTCCATTGGTGGTATAAGACAAGGTTAGGTAAAATTCCTGGTACTTAACACAAACTAAGGCAAGGATACCAAACTGTAAATAAGCAGTCATTGAATTCATGAAATAGAAGACATTGCACTGTCAGCCAATTGCAGAAAAAAGAAAAAAGCCAGATTTCATTTAAGAATGTCCTTGAAGAAGCAGTAAAAATTATGCATGCTATTAAATCTTGACTCTTGACTGCAAGTCTGTGTGTGTGTGCCAAAATGGGAAATATACGTAAAGTACTTCTGGTGTACTCTGAAATAGGATGGTTGTCTCCAGGAAAAGCCCTTGTCTGAACATTTGAGATGTGAACTGAGCTAGTTGCTTTTGCTTCATGTAATGCCATTTTTATTTGAAAGAACAACTAGCAGACAAACTATGGTTGGTCAGATTTGGGTATTTGGTGGATATTTTCCCTAAAATGAGTGAGGTACATCTGTTGCTTCAAGAAAAACAACAAAGAGCATGTGTTGCCAATGATAAAATTCAAGCTTTAAAACAAAAATTAGAATTTAGAAAACTATTGTCTGTCATCATGAGGTGATTTTCCTAATATACTGTTCCTAAAAACTTTTCTGGTGACATCAGTGGAGATATTAACTAATGTATTCTTTTTAGACAGAAATAGGTACTATGAAAACAGTAATGTGGATCAAATATTATATTGTAAAACCAAGACTTCATTCTAGTTTAAAATAAGTGTATTCAACTATAATGGAGTCCAACCAAGTCAAAAATTTGAAGGTTCTTATCACTTACAGTAGATTCCTGAGCATATGATTTGCTAGGCAGATTCACCATGGCCAACCATAATATTGCCAACGCCAAGCTAATTTTTCGCTAGGTTGTCCCTACCTGAGAAAAGTAGCAATTCCTTGCTGATCAATATAAATGTGGTAACTCAATTCTGTACATAAAATCTGAAGAATTTACTAATGAATATGGCTACTTTTGTTAGTATTAGTCCTATTAGTAAAAATAATTTTGATCAGGATATTCATTTGTCATTTACGTACTTTTCCTCTCATCTTAGAAAAACAATCAGTTGAGTTGCTATAAATATTTCTGTTGCCTTGTTATAGGCCTCTTGCTTATAGAGAGAGATTCTCAACAATTTCAATGTGAAAAACTGACCAAGTATCATATAGAGAGTGGGCCACTGTGATTATAAAATGAATATCACCATTACATTGGCCCAGATAGGACACCCAGACAGTCAAAATCAGGGATAGTCTCTGGAACTCATTTACTCCAGGTATGTGATTCATTTCTTTTAATCTGGGGAAGATGATATGTCAGGATTTGTTGTTCCCAAGAAAAAATTTGATCTCACCCGTTATGCCAAAAACAGAAACAAAAAGTAAATAAGACATTAGGAATAAAATATGGCCAGCCACTGTAGTCTAAGATGCTGCATCTAAAGCACTGTTTGAATGTGTTTTCATGAGGAAATTATGTAGTTTTCTCTCTGTCTAAATCTGTCTATCCATATTTGGGTAGCCTGGCCAGAAACCTTCTACAAAATCTGGGTCACCACTTTTAAATATCTTATCCAATCCATTTTTTCATCTTATACTATTCACATTGTTTAATATAAAATGTAGAAAACAGGGGGATTAGCCAATTTGAAAAATCCCTAAATGGATTAATTATAGTTACATAGCAGGTACAATTTGTGAGTAGTTGACAAGGAGCAAAGAACTCTACCACATGCTGCCAGATGGAGTAACACACTGGAGGTCCATACAATGTGATTTAGCAGATAAATTGCATGCGGCCTAGACAAGGCCTTCTGAGGTTAGGTGGCCATTACCAGATGATCTGCTTCTGAAGCTCAGTCCCTGCAATGATCAAAACCAGACACAACTGGTTTCGTGGACCCTGGCAAGCCCCTGAGCTGCAAACCTTCCATATTGTCCTTCTCTGCCCTGTGCATTTGAGCTAAGTGAGAATTTCACAGGTGAACTATAACTTGTTTCCATTCTAGAAGAACACTAACACGGCTTATCAACACACCTCTTCTTCATAACTCTGTAAAGCTCGCCAATGATCTTTGCCCAAAGCAAGAGTAGTCTAAACATTAAATATGCTGTTCTAATGCTGGCTTGACTATATAACACTGTACACTTATATTGATCTCTCTATCTATATTTCTCTACATCCATACTAGTTGAATGTATGGAAAGAGCACTATTATGAGATAAAGACAGCTTGTTTGACTAAGAATTCTAGTTTAAAATGTTGGGCACATTGAAAATACTATAGCTTTAAATGAGTTTTTACCATATAATGCATTTCTTTATCAGCACCGCACTCTACCGAGTGAGCCACAGGCTGGCCCCAAGTCATACATTTATTAATTATTCTTCAGAGTTTTTTGGTTTTTGGTTTTATTTTATTTTGCTTGTTAGGTGATTAAATGGGGATCCTATTTTATGTATCTTTAATTTGCATGTTATTAATTTGAGAAAAAGAAAGAAACTGAAAAAGCAATGGGGATGTTGGTATCTTCACAAAGATTTGACCAGAACTATTTGCTGTCTAAATAAAATCCTAACTACTTGAAGGAAGTTTAAGTCTAGATGAGTAAGGGTATAAAAAATTGAACCAAATGGATTATGCATAAAGCCCACATAAGTTGCCCAAGTATATGAATAATCACATTATCTGGCAATGTAATAGAATAATTGTTTACTTTTGTATGTTCATATTATATTCAGAGTGTGAAGAAAGAAAAGGTGAGCCACTTAACATTTCAATAATCTGATTAACAACATTCTTAAGAGCATTAATCAGGAAGAAAAAACTATTTTTGGAATTGGTTTTGAATAAATTATGTCTCAGAGAATATGCTGTCATATTGCTGGGGAGATATACTTTAAAAGTTTGGGGGTTAAATCTGCAATTTAAATTACTATTGATCACTTTTAGTCCATTCACCTAATATTTGATGAAAATCCAACTGAAAGTATAATATTCACTAATAGGAGCATCTAAACTATAAAAAATATGTAGTTTATTAAGCATTAAGACAACACAAAATATATGTTTCTAATGTTAATTTCAGGTTTTTCCTAATTTTTATGCAAATCTTTGCAGAAGCAGTGATATGTCCAAGAAGCCAAGAAAAATGCCAGTTGCCCCAAAATATTCAGACTCCCCTAAGGATTGCAGGTGGTCATTTTTAAGCTAAGTTATATTCATTATTACACAGTTCAGCAACTATTCTTTTGAGTGTGGTTTTTTAGTGAAATTGTCAATTATTTATATAAAAAATTTCCAAGGAAGCAGGAAACTCAGGATTTTAGAAGACAATCCAGTGCAAAGAATAAACCACCCTATTGTCCTCATGATTCAGTGCCTGGCACTTGGAATATGCGTAGATTCTTCAGAGATTGTTTCTATAATGCTAAGTATTCACCATTATTAGTAATGATAATAAGAACCAAAGAGCTCATTCATGCTTCCTGTTACCTCCAATTATTGCAGAGTCACTTTTGATCGCATTAGTTAAAGGTTCTCTGTCATCTATTGTTCCAGAATGATCTGCAGTTAAAGCACAAAAGGGGGAAGGGAGGCAAGTAAAAAAGAAGAAATTTTGAAAAATTCATAAACCAGAATGGAATGATGGAGGTGAATGTGGGATCTCCATAATTTTCCATTTAAAGAATATCAACTACAATGGCCCACATAAATAAGAAACTGAGAATCTAGAAAAGAAATGGAAAAGAGAACTGAACTTGAAACAAACAGAACCAGTTTTTAGAAATCATCTCAAGAATGTAGCATAACAGCAACATCAGAAGTTTTCAATACCCAAAGGACAGGCTGTGTTTGTGACTGGGCAGAGGAAGAGTCGTAAGTCACCTGCAAATGAGTGTGTCCTTTCCCTTGATGTGGCATCGGTGCCAGCCTGGGTCACACAGCTAGACTCAGTCACGTGCCCTGTGACAGTGATGGGGGCTGGGTGGCTGGGGTACAGAGCAGCCTTCAGAGGGGCCACATGGCTGAACTGTACAGCAGAGAGGCAGCCCACGAAGCCCTGAGCACCAGCCAGTGCCGTCTCCTGATCTACATCACTGTGTTCTGTAAATCCAAAGAACATCGCAATATTAAAAACAGTGAGAAACGCAAACAGGCATTATCACACAGAAATCAAGTATCCTGAGTCTCTTAATGCAGTAGCAATAAGTATAAAGCTACTAAACGTTTTTTTGCTTTGTCTTTACTAAAAAAGACATATCCGTAAAGTTTGTCCACAACTATTAGTGAGATTTCCCACATTAACAAACGCAAACTTTCAACTATGGCTAATTAAAAATGATCTGGCAAACTCACTGGAAATGATTAAAGGCATCATAAGAACAGGCCAGGTTATGAACTGATGAAGGATCATGATATTTTAAATTTAAAAATAGATCATTAAGATGCACTTATGATAGGGCTTGTAGTCAATATCAAGAGGTTATGGTGAAGTGTGTCCTGGGTTTGGAAACAAGCACAGCTCAGCTTTTGAGATTTAAGCCATGAAAATAACAGAAGCTAGAGGGAAAATTGAATCTCTAAAGTTCCTTTATCAGTTGCCCATCCTGACAATTTGGTCTGGCTGAAAGCTTTCAGATACTCTAGACCCCTACCCAAACATGCCAGGAGAACAATACTGTCATGCAGTAGAGGCCATACCACATTGCTTTTTCTTCCCGTTTCAATGACCACCTGTCACTCAGAGAGAAATTTGTTTGTGCCCTCCAAAGAGAGATAATCCCTCCTCCCATATTAATGACAGCCTAGTTAGTATGGGACTGTTGTAGAATAGAGATTGGTTTGAATAGCAGAATATTAATTCATAATTTTACAGTTAAGAATATATCATATATACCAGTTGCTTGCTGACCACAAAAATCTAAACAAGGGGAATTTATTGTAGAATTTTAAGGCTCAAAAGTTATCAAACTATAAAATGCAATATGATCATAAAATAGCATGACTATTCTCTCTTGCACTCCATATATGTGGGCACAGATGAAATTTGCATTTGTCTTTTTAAAAAACAATAATAGATATTATGTATTTATTGATTGAATATTATGTGCTGGGTACTGTTCTGAAGGATTTGCATGTTATTCTTGAGACTTTATAGTAGCCACAGGACTATCTTATTCTAGTCATACAGATGGGACCTCAGGTTCAGCATTCTTGCTTTGGAGTTTTGTGGGGTTTTGGGGGGTTGTTTTTACTTTAATGGGAAATAAAAAGAAAATATACTTTAATAGGAGCATAATCAGGACAGTGCTTTTCACATATCTCCTACATGGTTAAAATGTTAAATAAAATTTCCACAGGCCTTTACAAAATCTTACCTTCTGAGCCAAAAGAAAAAACTGTAAATAAACTATTCACTTCTTCTGGTAATAACCTGATATAAGACATATTTTAAAAACCTTACCCATACAAATTAAAAACTTTTTACCTGTTTAGAAAATATTGTACAAAAAAGTTTAACCTCTAAAACTTAAAGTGGATAGTCAATGAATGTTTATTGTTTAAGAGCTAAGGATAAAGGAAGTAAATTCCCTGCAGGTCAAGTATCTTACATTGTAGTGGAGAAGGGGAGAGAGAGAATAAACATAGAAACAGGAACTAAATGAGAATTTTGAAAAGTGATCATGCTTTGAAGAAAATAAACTAGATGATGTAATGAATGTATCCGGAACAGAAAATTACCTTGATGGATTAGGTTATTTTTTATGTTTATTTTAAAGATGGCTGTTTTCACGGACCTATTCTCTTAGTACTTTACAGATATTACTCCAGCATCTTCTGGCTCAAATACCTCTTTCTGAACTTTTGTAAGATTCCCTGTGATTCTGGAATTTTTATCGTATTGTCCCTAGCTGTGTGTCTTTTCTCAATATTCTGCATAAAACATGATGAGCCCTTTCAGTATGCAGACACAAAGTTTTTTATTTAAGCTTGGAAAACTTGATATATTGTGCACGCAACTATGGTTTCACTTTTGTCCTTTTTATCCTTCTGGAATGCCAATATTCACATTAGGTCTCCTCTACATGTGTTCTAAATCCATTTTATTTTTCCTCCCCATTTCTATTACTTAGGACTTATTTTTGTGTGGGTCAAATGCTTCATTCCTTTGATCTTCGAGATCTTGATATGAATTTAAATATCAACAAAATCATTCTTTCCTGTTGAAGTTTTAATTAGTAAAAAGTCACATTTTTTAGTTCTTCAAGATCTTTTTGTTGCTTTACTAGAATTTCCTTAAAGTACTCTTACTAAGTTTCATTCACATTGTTATCTGTCTCCTTGAATAGCTTTATTTTGATAGGGAATCATTCTGGTTGTTTTGTTTTTTTCTCCCCTTTTATTGATGTTGAATCCTTGTAAGTATAAAGTGTGTGTGTGTGTGTGTGTGTGTGTGTGTGTGTGTGTGTGTGTGTGTGTTTAATCTGCTTGCTGTTGCTCAGTCACTGGCTGAGGTAGGTGGGTGACACCAGAGAATGTAGACAGTGTAATGGTCTGTGTCCCTGTGGACCAGGCTCAGCACCAAGAGGAAACCCCCTCCTCATCCAACCTTGAGATAGAGAGAACTTGGCCCAAATTTCAGGTCATCCTCAGCTCCTCGGGAAATAGGGAAAATGGGCACATTGATGTGTTTCAATGCTGATCTTTCCTAGTGGGGATCCATGGATCTCTGTAAGGCAAACATTTCCCAGCATCTGCACAGTCGAATTCTCCCACTGAGAGTCTCAAGGCTGGCTCCCAGACTCTCTTCCAACCGAGAAAGTAGGGAACCCCACAACAGCATCCTCTCTGGCACCCTCCAGGGTTCCCCCTGCCACCCTCCAGGGTCCCCCTGCCTGCTGGGCTGGACCAACAACTCCTCATTTCAGAAGCATCAACGGGTTGGGATTAGAATTGAGAGTGGAACGTAACTAAAGGGACTTAGCAGCCACCTTCCCAGAATTGAGTCTAAACAAAATTAAGAGCTATATGAAGTGGCTCATGAACTAAGCAGTCTTAGAAACACACAGCATCAGATATCAGCTTTGACAATTGGGCTACGAAAGCCAATGAGCAAATGAGCAAATATATATATATATATATATATATATTTCCTGTTATCTGACTCCTGAAATATCAACACGATATAAAGGGCTAGAAAAGGGAGGGTGGAGGGGGGATCTGAAGACAAACGTCTCCTGTTTCACAAAAATCTTAATGAGACAATCCCGTTTTCGATGTTTTGGGTCGTAAAAATCCTTAACTGACTCAGATTTTTGGGTGGTCTTGCCTATTAAAAAATTAGCCTCAACTGTTTTTTCCAACAAAGGGAATGACTTCTGCTTTAATAAAGAAAAAACCTTTAAAAACAAAGATCTACAGAAAAAAAAAATTGAGCACTAAGAAATTAAAATTTAGTGGAGAGCCTATTAGAAAGAAAGGGAGGACTGTTTCTGGAAAAATAGGACAGTAAATGTAAGAACGATTAAAAGGAGTGCTTTATGAAATATCCTGTGGCTCTCACAGTAAAAAATAAAAATAAAATAAAAATTCAGAAAACAAACATAAATAGTTTGTAATGCCATAACCGTGAAAGGGGTCATCTTATAAAAGGATTTCATTATCTTTAACCCATAAAGATAAAGATAAAGAAGACTTGCCAGAAAATAGTGCAGTGAATCTAGGGAGGGGCCACGGTGAGAACCAAGCAGTGGACTTTTACCATTTTATGCAATTACATGCAGGACGTGACAAAAAAAGAGTTAGTGGGCAAGGAAAATGGCAAAGCAGACAACAAATACTACGAGGATAAAGGAGCAGCTGTTCATAAAAGGTATTCATTTGCCAACCAAACCTACTGCTCTGAAATAGACATTTGAAAACCTGATTAATACAAAAGTATTTATACGTAGCTATCTCATGGTGATCTCTACTGCTCTTGTTTTCAGCATATCATGTCTCATCTTAGTCTCATTTGACAGGATATTTGCAACATCACAGTGCCCTTAAGTAATCTAATTAAACTTTCTTATGTACCTCCTTGGCTTTAAGCAGGTCTTACTTAAAATATCCCTGAGATTAAAGATTGTTTCTGAAGCTCTTCTGAGGAGATTGAGTAGACATCCTCTTTCCTCAGACCACATACTTTATTTACATCTGGCCTAAATCGCCACTGCAGAAATCTGTGTGTACTTCCTGGCTCTGCAGACTCAAAGGAGATAAATGATCTCTAAGGGTCATCGCCTCTAAATATACCAAAGCTACTGCTCAGAACAAGTGAAAACAATCTTCGGGCTTTTAGAAAACTCTTCTAACATAAAAAACAATCCTTGAACAGAACTCAGAGCTTAATTTTTTGATAAGTTTGGATATGAAAAGCAAATGTAACAGCCTATTAGTTATGGAGGAATACCAACTGAGTTTATTTGGTTTTTCCCACTATCAACATACAGTATCGACAAATTGTTGTCATCCGCATTCTTGTGCCATGTGTCATGTCATGTGTATTTGACATGAAAAGTAACAAAGAGTAATTATAAACTTCACTCAATCTTTGAACAGTGCTTTTCAGTCATTTGTACAATGGGTTAAATTATATCATTATTCAAAATATGGGCACATTTTCCCATGAGAGGTTTTATGTCACTTTAAGATTATGTAATTATACTGTGTTTTTATGTGTTGGAATTGTGATGCAATAAAAGCGTAATGAATTAGCAAAACAACTTTATACCTTCATATTTCCTTTGATTAATTATATCTTACAGAAAACTCTTTTTACTATAATTTTCCAGCAAGTATTTATTATAAAGAAGCTAATTGACAAATCATTCACTTTGACATTGGAACTTAAGCACACTGTGAACAACATACTTAATAAAGAAATGACATCAGACTATCTGCCCTTTCACAGGAAGACCAGAAAGACAGGAACTGCTTTCCCTTCACCCTCCAGTGATAATCCACTCTGCAATTGAGGATAAACTTCAGTAACAATCCTTTCCTCCAATCACCATTCACAAGCATTACTAGCAGATATTAAGCAAGGGGATAATTTTCAGGTA